GAGTCGGTGTGAAGTGACACATGTCTGAGTCAGCGGGAAGTTAATCGTGGGCATCTGAAGCGGAGACGGCAGAGTATGTAAGCATTTCAACATCAGACCATATACATGGTACCACCGAGCCCTTCAGCTGCGACTATATAGCAAAACCATAGTTACTCTCACGTTGTTAATCTACTTCCATTATCTTGGTGTAGCTCTTTATCATTCACGGTCTAACTTATGAACAGCATTATCCAGGCCCTGAGTCACATCGTCTATAATCCAACAAGTTCATTGAGTTCAGTGACTTGCCATCGACCAGGCAGTCTGACCACAAGCACACAACTTCGCCCCTTGGCTTGAAAAAGTGACATGGGGCAGGATCAACATTCATGCACACCCTCCTTTGCTACCCCTAGTGCATTTCAAGTTGCGCGCATGGAAAGTCCAGCTCTTGGCTTCAATCCATAGGACCGCCTAGATCTCAGCAGTCATACCACCACGTGGATGTCAGATTTCCAAGGGTTGTCGGTGATTAGCCGGACGAGCTGATCCAATTCTGCCAAATCGGTTCACATATAGCATCCTCCGCATCCTGCGTTGGAGTCGGATGCAACCTAACCCCATCTCTGGGCAGGCTCGGCAAGAGACATGGCACTTCGTTGACGCTTGAAGAATCGGTAAGAAAGTGTATTGGTCTGCGTTGGACAGCTTTACGATCATCCACGGCGAGAGCTAGCCAAGTAAGCTTAACTCCCCTCGATCTAAGGTGCTCGCCTGGACAGGTGTAGATTCCCAGAGAGACAACCGTCACAAACATATCGACTCTATCGTCTACAATAACTTACTCGGTAAGTGTCTCGTGATCCGTTACGTGGCTAGTTTGAGCTAGGTATAGGCAGATTAAACGATTCGGAATATCGGGAGTCTTTGCCGTGCTCGCTAATCGGATCATGCTACAATATTGCCAATATACGTCAAATCCAGCAAAGCTTCAAACAATAGAGGAAGACGTTCAGTGATCGGCTAAATTCAAGATCCATTCCCCGCAGACCTCTGAATAACAATTTTGATGTTGCAGCCCCCAGCTTGGCATCTAGTCCCAGAAAGGGACATAATATCAGCACGCATTAAGAAACCCTCCCCCATTTGTAGTAGGTCTCGATCTGAAAACAATATTATCCGCTGCACAATTAAACAACGACCCATATTTGCGGGGGACGCCATCGCAGCTTTCTGTTTAGGGCGTTGACGACAAACTTGGCGATGCTCCGACATTTCCTCAATGGGCCTCCTTCGGAGCTTGGTTCTCCGCACATAAGGCTCTATAACCCCAGACATGCCAATTTCCCGGCAAAACACGATGAGTCGATCGGATTGGTCAGGATTCACGATTATATAGAGCCGGGGTCGAATGTGCCATATCAGATGCTATATTAAAGCTATATATAAGGATGGGAGTAACCCTTTGACGTTGCGTTCGATATCTTCAGACAGTATGTACTGCTTCGAAGCATCAGTTCACTGAGATTAGTCAAGATGCATACTCTTTCACTTCTCCTCGCTCTCGCTCCCGCGTCTGCCCTAGCCCAGTCTCCCGTTTGGGGACAGTGTACGTTACAGCAGCTCGGAAGAAGAGTCGATGCTCGATAGCTAAAACCTCTCACAGGCGGTGGCAATGGTTGGACCGGTCCTACAACTTGCCAAAGTGGCCTTACGTGTCAGAAGATCAACGACTGGTACTATCAGTGCGTTCCCGGATCTGGAGGATCTGAGCCCCAGCCTTCGTCAACTACTCAGGGCGGTGGCACTCCTCAGCCTACTGGTGGCACTGGCGGAACTGGCCTCGACGCCAAGTTCAAGGCCAAGGGTAAGCAGTACTTTGGTACTGAGATCGACCACTACCATCTGAGCAACACTGCCTTGATCAACATTGTCAAGGCCCAGTTTGGCCAAGTGACGTGTGAGAACAGCATGAAATGGGATGCCATTGAGCGTAAGGTTCCATTCACCAAAAAGAAGTAATGCAGATCTGATGATGAATAGCTTCTCGAAACTCCTTCACCTTCACCAGTGCGGACAAGGTCGTTGACTTCGCCATTGCGAACAACAAGCTCATCCGTGGCCACACTCTCCTCTGGCACTCCCAGCTGCCTCAGTGGGTTCAGAACATCAACGACCGCTCCACCCTCACATCGGTCATTCAGAACCACGTTACGACCATGGTCACCCGCTACAAGGGCAAGATCCTCCAGTGGGATGTTGTCAACGAGATCTTCGCTGAGGACGGTAACCTCCGCGACAGTGTCTTCAGCCGAGTTCTCGGTGAGGACTTTGTAGGAATTGCTTTCCGCGCTGCCCGTGCCGCTGATCCCAACGCCAAGCTCTACATCAACGACTATAACCTCGACATTGCTAACTACGCTAAGGTGACCAACGGCATGGTCGCTCACGTCAACAAGTGGTTGGCTGCCGGTATTCCCATTGATGGCATTGGTTCTCAGGGCCATCTTGCTGCTCCTGGCGGCTGGAACCCAGCTTCTGGCGTCCCTAATGCTCTCAAAGCCCTTGCTGCCTCAAACGTCAAGGAGATTGCTATCACTGAGCTTGATATTGCAGGTGCCAGTGCTAACGACTTCCTTACTGTCATGAACGGTTGCCTTGCTGTATCCAAGTGTGTCGGCATCACCGTCTGGGGTGTTTCTGACAAGGACTCATGGCGACCTAATGACAACCCTCTCCTCTATGACAGCAACTACCAGCCCAAGGCTGCTTTCAACGCCCTGATCAACGCTCTTTAAGCTGTTGTTGACGTATGTCGCTGATTTATATATCGAAATGTCCTAGTTGGATAAAGCGTGGTAGAATGATGCTCGAGGAAATGGTTCAACTGTATATATCTATTTCTCACGTACATATTTAGCAGAATGGAGGTCAATTGCTACATCCTCAGTGCCTGAATATTCCCACCTAAACTCTTGACCCCTAGGTGCTTCTATTGCCTCCTTTCACACCAGGGTCAATTGAGATCAAGATCCCGTCTCAACTTCGAGCAGCCGTGTTGCAAAACCCAGCAACATTAAAACCCCAGACCTCTTCTCTCGAAATATGGGTACCGAGAGCTGGTGGAGGCGAGATATGATTATGGCCATCCATAACCTGAACTTGGAGCTCTACACCCGAGCTTCCCGTACTCGATCGCCATAACTCAATAAACTCCTTGTTGCAACCCAGAATCTCATCTTCAGGGTCGAGGGAGCCATACAGTAGAAGGAACTGGACCCCAGGTGCAGCATCTGAGACAGTCTTGTTCTTGTTACAAGCCTCAAGAAGTCCGAGGGGGCAATCCTGCTCTGTTGTTTCTCCATAGTATCTTGCAAGAACAGGAGCTCGATAAGGGCGAGGGTTGCGGAAGGACGTCGGCATAGAGCAAAAGACAGCAGCCTTCAGCCGCAGGGGGAAAGTAACACTGTCATTTGTGATCTTGCTGCGAAGCTCAGCAAACGAAGGGTGCAACAAGAATGTGCAGAGATGAACGGCACCAGCAGAGTTTCCCATCATGAACAACGGTCTTGGCCGTGAACCTCCAATCTTTTCAATGTTGTTTATGAGCCACTTCACAACCATCTCAATATCCTGTCCACCGGAAGGAAACCTCGCCTCTGGAACAAGGCGATAGTCCGGAATGATAGTGACGAACCCGCACTTCTCGGCAAAGAAATGTCCAAGGTTTCGGTAAAGTAGATGATCTTCAGAGGCTCTATCTCCTCGAGTAAAGCCGCCTCCATATGTATAGATGAAGACAGGGCACCCAGCCCCAGTGGGATTGCTGGCAGGATAATAGATATCCAAGTTGTTCCGGGGGTTTGGGCCATAAGAGAACGTTTTTCTCAGAGTTGATTTGATGGCAGTCGAGTTCTTGTTGAGAAGCGGAAGGTAAATCTTCAAGGTTGGCTCAATGCTTTCAGCAATTGAACTGGGAACTGAAGAGAGTTGTTCCATTTTGGAGGATGCTTGATTGACTTGTGTTGTTATCGTAAGAAGCTGTGACTTGTGTGCTACTATATGACATACTTTCTCGGTTTTCGCATTCGGATTCTCGTCTTCATATATCCAGGCTTCACATATATCATGATGCCCTTATCCGACATCCGACGATGAGTAAGCGGCAGCCGAGCACAAAACACCGACCGTTCAGCCTTGAAACAGTGACTATGGCCAAATTCGGTTCCCGAAAATGACTACCGTTGTGGAAGAGGCGTTCGTGACCCGCAATAACGGGCTATAAGTGCCGGAGCAAGGTCCTGATATGACACTTTTGGCCAACTATTGGTTTCGCTCGGCACGCACAAAATCGAAAGACCGATATGAAGGCCGAGACCGAGCAAGACGGTCTTAAACCTCCGTTTAATGGCGATGTTGTTGGACATGTTTCTGAGAGAGCTCATTAACCTTGAGACTGTAGGTGCCGTATTTCGCTCCTTTAGCAGGCGCCGATACCGATGACGAAGTTAATCTGAGCATAGATACTCTGGGAAACCCTGCATCCGACAACTCTAACGTTACAATGCATTGTCATGCATCTCGTGTGCTTGGTTTCCCCAGGTTCACTTACGATGCAGGAGCGGTATACGATAAATAATTGACACTCCAGCGCGATATGAATGACCTGAATCAAAGGCTTCATCAGCCAGCCAAAAGAAACCAGAAAGCTTACATCTCGTATTTAACTTAACTCTCTACTTTAACCGCAGAGCGCATGGTACTGCCGCCATCAGTAGCTTGAGAATCCGCTGCTTCTAAAGAACCATATATCCTCAGATCCTTATCTGGAGACATGGTCTACGTCTCTGGCACTCCTTCAGTTGCTCATTTCCTTCTCACTGGGACAAAAATGGGTGGTAAGTTAACCATTCTGACAAGCGGCGGCCAAGTCTTTCCCGCTCCTGTGCCAACTCATTATCGCAAACATATCCACCATGACTTCATGTGCATCAGTGGCCAGTTGAAGATCTGGCTCAATGGCCAGTACAGAATACTCAGCTTCGGGGTACACCAGTGTGGCCCCAGTAAGTAAAAGTACCTACGTTCTTTTTCATTATACTGATCATTTCAAGGAAGCTATTCACTGAGGTCTTCAGTATAAACACCCCTGCTGGATTTGCACACATGTTTCGAGCTCTGGGTAAGCCATATACCGGTCTGATATGGTCAGATGCCGGCCTTGAAATCGCTACTGAAAAGCTCAACTCTGGTGTCGCAAACGCCATAACCGAGTTCGACATCGGCCCCATGCAGAGCACAAGCTCGTTGAGTCGCAGCCTTAGAGCAGTTCAGAGAATCAACTGCCCGGCTTTCGGAAGCCGTACTTTATCCGTAACTGCACAGTACTTAGTGCTGTTCTCGGCGGAACAGTCGTCCGTCCATATGTCGCCGAGGCTGAATATGGGAAAATATGTAGTCTGACTACCCTCGAAGGTTCTAACTAGTCAGGTTCTGTTTGATGGAATTCGATTTCCAGATGTCGACTACTGCTTCTATGTGTCTGATGGAAATCTCTAGGTCACGATAAGCGACACTGACTCTTCACGTATGGGCCTCGATGAAGTGGCTTGGTTGCCTGCTGGAACTCACCTCGATATCAGGCCCATCAGCTCATATTTCAAAGTCTTTGTGTACGCGCAGCCTGGTAGACTTGTCGATTTACTTTATGCGGTTGGGAAGGATAAGCCGGATGCTGGGTTGCACTGCCTGATTCCTGATTCACTAGCCCTTTTGACAGGAAGAAGCTCTCTCAGTACGAGTCTGGGTTCAACTTTGACTTGATTCAGATAGTTATGGAATGTACTTCTGTCTTTGAAACGCTTCGACCTTAAATAAACTCTCAGTATATACAAGAAGACTTGGGGAGCACGATGTAAATATGATGTCGTAGAGCTCTCTGGGCCTGTCTTAAGTTATCCTCGACTTGAGCAAGTATTTACCTAAGACATCAAAAGTTATATTTAATTAATTATAGTATCTATAAGAGTTTTCCCGTAACCTTATAGGTTTATGCAAATACTGCTATATCAAGCCAGGGCCCTAAATGCTTTAGAGATACCCTACAGTATATTATTGATATTGGGAAAATAGGTTCGCAGAATATCTTTTATAATGATGTCATTGGTTATAGATCTGTAATAGATAATTACAATAAATTACAAGATCACGTTCAATACGATAAGCAGATCATAGACCGAGTAGTAGAGACAGAAGAGGCGGAAGGAAATTGTTATCTAAACAAGCACGAATCCTCTAAAACTGAGCATTGTCCTTATCATCGACCCCAGATGCCACGATCAGTAAGCAAGCTAGCATCAAAAGACCAATATATTGATTGGACTGTGCACTACATACCAATCTTTGCGATATGCAAACCAATTGATTCAACGTCACACATGCCATACTGCCAAGGGACCCTCCCAACAAATGCTGTGAAGCAATTGAAGTTGTGCAAACTTCAGGGTAAGCTATTCTCAAGGTGGCCAACGCTCGCAAGCCTCGTTACAGCCACGACGATAAGATAACGGAAATCGACCGAAGAGTGTTGATCAGAGTTACCCAAATTAGGATCGATAGAAGAAGTGAAAGTGGTCGATGTCGGTCAGAACTTTAAGGAAGCGATAGTTTGCTTGACTCGTGGACTCTCAGACATGTCGATTCCAAATCTAGTCTGTGCGATGTGCATGCATGCATACGTGGGGTGGATGGATTATGGATGGGATAGCTCAACTGTCAAGAAGCAGCCACATTCACCCCAGTCCAGCAGCACATTTCACCCAATCCACGCATCAAAACCACGATCCCCTCAGCTAAACTCGATCGAGATGCTCAATTTCCCAGCTTGATCCTCGAATCTGCCCCCAAATAGCGCAATAGCTAACCCCGCAATTCGGTAAAGCCTGCGTGTGACGTCTTTTTACTCCCGTCTGGGGCCTTCTAAGTCCTCGTGCGGGGTGCATTAGCCCCAGATGCCATGGCTTGCGAGCATCGCATTGCCGAAGGATGAGATGGATGGGCACACTCTAGGAATGTCATAGCGCTCTTTTGCTCGTTTCCCAATTCAGGACCACCTTCCGACCTGTCCCCAAATTGATCATCGCACCTCTAGTTTAGCTTAGCTTATCTAGTTCCACTCCATGCCGAGGAAGCCCATCTTCACGTTGCTGATGTCAACGACGCCGTGATCCGTTTCATGTTTGCTTGTTTCATCGCAAGACTGATAACTAGACGACTTCTTGAAAATCGAAGTTTTTGGAAAGATCTTCACATCGTAAGTTCTTCATGAACGAGCTCTTTACTTGCTTTCTCAATCACTCATTCTCATCAGTCAGCACACTCGATATCACAATGTCTTCTTCATCTGAGCCAGGCACCAGGGGCAACCTCACCCTTGAGCAAAAGAAGAGCCTCCAAGAGGCTTGGGTCCATATTCTGCGGTTATGCGGAAATGAGAACATCACCCATGATGCGCCAGACAACACAGACGAATACCTCCAACACCTCAAGAACAAAGATTCCGATCATTTCTCACGGAATCTCTGGGAGTCGATCATGGCCGATCATCCTGATACTACGCTCCTTCGCTTTCTTCGAGCGCGCGACTGGGATGTCAACAAGGCCGTTGACATGGCTGTCTCTGCTCTCAACTGGCGCGACGAGCGACAGATTCAGAAGACCATTGTCGGAGGCGGCGAAGCTGTTGGTCTGAAGAAGACACTCACTACGGATGAGGAGTCCTTCATGGCGCAGTATCGCTCAGGCAAGAGCTACGTCCGAGGAACCGACAAGGACAACTATCCCATCTATGTCATCAGAGTCCGCCTTCACGATCCTCACAAACAATCTGCCGAGTCTATGGAAGAATATGTCTTGCACAACATCGAGACGTTGAGGGTCATGGCAAGAGAGCCGCAAGACAGGGTCTGCTTGATCTTTGATCTCACAGGCTTTGGTCTTCGCAACATGGACTTTCATGTCGTCAAGTTCCTCGTCGATATTCTTGAGAAGCGCTACCCCGAAACCCTCTCGGTAGTGCTCGTGCACAATGCGCCATTCGTATTTTGGGGTAAGCTTGACACTCTGCCACCTCTAACTCTATTTAGATGCTAATCCTTTCCAGGTGTCTGGACCGTCATCAAGCACTGGCTTGACCCTGTCGTCGCATCAAAGGTCCACTTCACCAGCGGTACCAAGGGCCTTCTCAAGTTCATCGCCAAGGAGAACCTGCAGAAGTCTTATGGTGGTGAAGATCCCTGGGAGTACAAATATGTAGAGCCTGTTCCCTCTGAGAACGAGAGGATGCAGTCTGAGGAGAAGAAGATAAAGATACAGATTGAGCGACAGGAATTGATTGACTCGTTCAATCGGTCGACTGTTGATTGGATTGGCACAGATCCTGATACAGACGCTGGAAAGGAAGCGCACGAGAGGCGAGATGAGATAATTCAATTGCTACAGATGAACTACTGGAAGTTGGATCCATACGTTAGGTCTGGTACTTACTACCACCGAGCGGGAGTGGTCAATAGGGTTGGAGGTGTTGATTTCAAGGCAGCGCGATAATTAGTTTAGAGTGTTATTCGTATTCAATTCCGTAGTAAGCTTGTTTTTTTCCGCACTCAACTTCAATTGACCTCAATTCTTGTCTTGCCAAGATGTTTCCTCACCTAGACCCGTCAGTGCAATCCCTTACTTGAGACGTTACGGCCCGACACTATCATCTGAACCCTCATCCCCACTGTCCGAGTCCATGGCCGTACAGTAAATATCCAAGAATTCATAGCGCGCTCTGCCACCAAAAATCGCCCTCGGTTTTTCTTGTAGCCAATCGGCCCCTGTACACCCACGTCCTAGCGGTGCTGTTTAGCGTCTTCACCGTCGCAGTGCGCTTTGACCCGTGGCGCTCATCACCAACGGACCCAGCTGCGCTGTCTTGCTGTCCAGGTGAACCCCAGAAGCTAGACCAGGAACCTTGTCCACGAGACCGTGCAAAAAGGCTGATAATGATGCAAAGCCTCGTGCCCAAAGCGCAATAGTTTGCGAGATGCAGGGGTGCTCACCACCTCCTGGCCAGAACAGCAGGGATCGTCACTGCTACCCCTCCAGCACTAATTTCCCTGCCGCGGTATCATCCATGATTTCTGGGGTACAGCTGTGGAGTGCTTGCAATGATCCCGAAAAGCAAATCCGTGTGTGATGACTGGCTGAGATAAAGAGCCTCCTTTAAACGAACCCTTGGCAGCCTGATTATCTCTTCTCCCCCCCTTCTCCTCGCTACAGTACAAGTCAAGCTGTGATAGTGAGACAGTTCACTCGGTTTCCTTATCTCATCTTCTCCTTCAATTGTTACGCTATGAGGTTCTCAACGGTGCTCCTCACGGCTCTTGCGCCATTTAGTCTTGCGGCCCCTGAGCCAAAGACTGTTTCCGCACCGGAGCTCTCGGGCCAATTGGTCGAGCTTTTGGAGAAGCATAACCTCGCGCTCGTACCGCGGTCAGAACTCACAGACGCGTTGAAAGAATTGAATACACTTCTCAAGAGTGATAGATTTCCTCGCGCACCTGTCCTGATACGGCGCCAAAATACTACTTCTGGTTCTGGCTCAAAATCTGGCGGCTCTAGCTCAGGGTCAGGTTCAGATGATGACTCAGATTCAGATAGCGGCGGTTCAAGTCGCATTGTCTCAATTCCTGGTCTTGATGGTCTTGGTGACCTCGGTGATGGCCTCAAGGGATTGACAGACGCACTCGGCGAGTTGGGAGATCTCCTCAAATCCCTCAAGAATCTCCTGACACCCGAGTTCCTCGACGGATTCCACGATGCTATGATCTATCTCGCAGCAACATTGAAGCCTCCCGCGCCCAACCAGATCAGAAGTCTGCTTGAGAAAGCAGGTCCTTTGCTCGATCTTGTTGGTGAACTCGACCTCAAGGGCCTTATCGACCAGCTCAAGGATGTCGATATCGCTGGTATCGTCTCCAAGGTTCTCAAGCTTCTCACCGACGGCAACCTCAAGAACATCGATGGTCTTCTCACCAATGGCGCAAGCCTGTTGACACCAGACTTCGTCAAGCAGACCAAGGGCCTCATTGGCGACGTCTCGCCTCTTCTCGACGAGCTTGCTCCTCTTCTCAAGAAGCTCACCGGCCTCGATCTCGAGGGCATTCTATCAGCTTTGGACCCACTTCTCAAGAAGGAGTCTATCCAGGGCATTGTCACTCTACTCAAGAATGCCGGCGATCTTCTCACCGCCAAGACCGTCGATGAGATCCAGGGTCTTCTCGGTGAAGTCTCCCCCATCATCAAGGACATCGCCCCACTTCTCGAGCAACTCACCAAGCTCAACCTTGAAGAAGTCCTCAAAGCGCTGCAGCCGCTCCTCAAGGACGATTCCATCAAGGGTATCTTGAGCTTGCTGAAGAACGCCGAGACTCTCTTGACACCCAAGTTTGTGGACCAGACGCAAGACCTCATCGGTGCCGCGTCTCCACTGATCGACAAGTTGAACGACGTCGATC